ACACGCTGTGGTGTCTCTCACAGCCAATTACCTGTGTGTGTGTGAAGCTGGAGCCCTCACATCCCACTGTCAGAGCTCGATGGGACAATGCTGCTTCCTGTCTGCGTTCTCCCGCCTGCCTAGGAGACCAGAGCTGAGCTGCTATCCTTCATTTCCACATCAATGCTGGACTGAATTTTTTTTGTTTTCTTTCGCTCTTTAGTCACTTTTGATTTCTTCTCCAGAAAGACGGGACACGCTTTTGTTGGACGTTTGGCAAACTAGGCAAAACGCCCACAACTGAGCCCTGGTTTACACGTGAATGAGCTCCTCGATACGTTCTGGATATTCTGATGTGTATTGTAAAAACGTTACGCGCTCCCAGAGTAACGCTGGGTTTGAAGTCACCGTTTAGATGAGACGACAAATGAGACGAACCCAAAGTAATTTCCATGCCAGGTCACTAGCTGTCACTGTGATTTGTGTTAAATTAAAACACTTCAGTCTTTCCTGCATGAGAACATTTACACCCAAAATGCAGAATACACAAGCGTTTGTTTGGACCGACGACGAAGTTGGGTTGCTTTAAATTATACATTTAAAAAGATTCAGGAGAATGTAATCTACTGACTGCAGTGAGCATGTGTGAACATTTTTGCTTTTGGAAGGGGCACCACCAAAGGTGGGCCAGGGGTTAATGGCTACTCCTAAATAATGGGTGCCCCCAACCCCCACTGGCACCCTTGGCCAGACAGTTTCATCCTCTTGAGCCTCAAGCTTTTTATTTTGTGTGCATATTTAATTTCCCTGAGATATTTAAGATTGGAACCTAAAAAAAAAACATTGCTTATCTGTAATTAGGAGACAAGAACACAAACTTTTTTTAAAAATTACAAATAAAACTTAAATTCTAGTCCTGAATAGGACAGCAGGTCTAAAAGCATTGTCCCAAACATCAGGATGCAGGGTGTCAGGAGGTTACGTGCAGAACATATTTTAAGAAAATTAATTTACGAAAGAAAGCGCTTCAATAAGTTGAGCGATAACTCAACTGTAAGTAGACCTATGCGTGTCAGAAGGTGACTCCATAACTCACGTATTGCAGTGTTAGTCAAATAACCAATATATGACAACATCAGAACGCTCTTAAAATTCTGTTCTGACTTTTGGTTTTGGTGCCACCCCAGGATTTTCAGAGAGAATCCCATCACCGTTGTCGTATAAACAAACAGATACAACGCAACAGAACTCGTCAGATTTCTCTTAAAAAGAGTGTTGAGTAAACTGGGCCTGAACTTCTATTTCATGCCTTGTCCTCGTGGAAACACAGTTTTTCCAAAACAGTCTTCTTATTCGTCTTGTTTGCAAAAACACTCCAAAAACAGGAAACAAGGCGTGGAGCATGAGCACAAAGCTTACACTCTGGGTGTGCAATGTACACACAAGAAGAAACTTCTCTTAAGTACAATGGTGCAATTCAGTTAACTTGGTTCCTGCCCCTCTCCCAGTACAAATAAATATTTGTATACTTCCAACAAATTATTCCCAGTTGTCTTGATGCATGCTCAATAATTCAGGTAGATAAATCTAACAAAGCTGCGTCAGGTCCTGTGGACGGATTCTTCTTTGAACATTTTCTTCTTTTATCCAAAACACTTGTTCAGACTGCGGCTGTAAAAATTAAAGTTAAACGGAGACACACATCTTTGCTATAAACTGGGGCATATAAATATTCATCTTTTAGTGTTAATATTATTTAATTATAAGAAGTAAAGCTGCCTCCGCTCTCACCGTGAGCGACACAACAGGCTGAACGCGCTCCCACAGCAGGGCCGTCTCATTTGATGACCAGAAATGTAGTTCTGCGCAAGTTGAGCACGTCTGTATGATGATGACAAAGCTCCAAATGCGTTAAAGTTTAAAACAAAGTTAGATTTTAGATGCAAAAGTCCCGGGGGGGTGTCAGGGTGTGGTGCGGGAGGAGGGTGTGGGGTGATGGCACATCAGTCCTGGTATGTCCCACGGCGGCAGTGAATTGATATCATGCGAACACATACCTTTAATACGTAGATGGTTAATAATTTATTATGTCATCACCTTTGGTTAGGATAGTGGGGTGTCTTCCTTGGAAAATGGTCCAGGAAACACCTGCAGTCCATCTGAGTTGGGAACACTGCGCACACCTATCGTGTATCAGACGGCACGACCCGCCCTGCTCTGCTCTGATTGGGTCAAACTATGACTCTACTTCTCTATTTGTTGGAAGCGGCATCAGTTTAACCCGTTTCATTATTGGACTGGATGGCACAACAAAACACGTTTCTTTCCCCCTTTCGTTTTTACAAATGATGGAAATTCGTTGTGACGACGGTTAACTTTAAGCCATGTCTATTCCACTTCGGTGTCGACCAGAAAGCCTCGAGGCGAGATATGGTTGTCCAAGACAAAAATAGGTTGTTTCAGACCAATGGAAACCGGTTGTTGACCCCTGCAGTAAACCTTACTTATCATCAAAACAAAATTTACTAAAAATCTTTCAATTAAAGTATATTACACCTCTAGTGTTATGTATGGGGAACTCGGGAGCCGAAAGTCCCAGGTTCGATCCCCAGTCGTTGCACAACTCGTGGTGTCTCTGAGCAGCACACCCTATCTCCCCAATTGCTCCCCATGCGCTTTCAATATCTGCCCACTGCACCACCTGGTGGTGGATAGGTTAAATGCAGAGAGACAATTTTGCCATTGTATGGGAACATACAACGATGACAACACATTATTATTATTACTCCATCCATCCATCCATCCGTCCATCCATCCATCCATCCATCCATCCATCCATCCGTCTGTTCATCCATCCATCCATCCATCCATCCATATTAGGATAGGGTTAGGGCAGTGCTTCTCAATTATTTTCTGTTATTGACCCCCACTTTCCACCGCAACTATAAATAGTATGTCTATAAAATTGTTATAAGTACACCTCTGCATAACATTGTGTTCTTATTAACATTAAAGAAAAAAAATATATATAGATCAACTTACAACAAAGAATAACTTTACTAACATTGTTTTTTTTTAGTCTGTAACAGGAACAACTAAAAGTGCATCAATTTGCCTGAAAAAAAAATCCTTTTTTAAATTGTAAACATTTTTGACCATTTGATACTGAAAAATATAATTAAATAGTCAATAAAAAATAATAAATTCTAATTGATCAGCAATATTTGAACTCAGGAGTGTTATATAAAACACTTTGACCTACAAAACAAACATGAATAAAACAATTTATGCCGATTATTTTTTTTTTTAATCAAAATGAGGAAGTCATGATCAATGAGCACACTCATCGATAAAACAAAAAAAAAATGTCAACATGAAAGAAGAAAAAGGAACAGGTAACCCTCTCGCTTTGAGTTTACTCTTTGTCGCATGCATGCTGTGAGTGACACGTGTCCAGATCATCATAAAAACAGCAGCTTAACTGAAGAGGTGAATTTATTTTGTTAGCAAAGAATTGAGTCCTAACATTTATTAAACATTACTTCTGTAAATTGTGCTTTAACAAACTCATCGATAAAACTAAAACATATTGTCAACGCGAAAGAGGAACGAGGGGGCAGGTGTCGCTCTCGCTTGAGATTACTCTTTGTTGCATGCGCGCGCTGTGAGTGACGTTCAGAGCGCATGGACATAAAAACAGCAGCGGAAGACGTGACGGTCGGAGTTTATTTATCTTGTCAGCAGCAGAGGAGAGAGACACGGTTCATGCATGGCTCCCAAAATGACAAGGCAGCCATATTTGTTCATAACTTTATTATTAGGAACGCACGCGCAAAATGAGAATGGTGAAAAAAGAAAAAAAACTCCCTGCGGCAAAAAAAGCATATTTTCTAGGGTCACTTGCACCCCCCTGACATTGCCCCAGGCCCCCCAGGGGGGCGGCACCCCACTATTTGAGAAGGACTGGGTTAGGGTATGATGGATCCATCCATCCATCCATCCATTCATCCATCCAGCCATCCATTCATCCATCCATCAATATTAGGATAGGGTTAGGGTATGATGGAGCCATCCATCCATCCATCCATCAATATTAGGACTGGGTTAGGTTATGATGGATCATACATCATCAATCCATCCATGTTTTAAAAAATGACACTGGGATATCTCTTTAGAATCTTGTGTTTTAAAAATGGCGGCATCTTAAAGTCGATTTTACCCCAAGTACACCCACTAAAAGGAGAGTGTAATATATTTATAATACCTGCATTAATTACAAAATTTGGAGTTTGTATGTCTCAATCAGAAATTAAGCTTGAAAAATAAAAAATTTAGATGTGAATGTACATCAAGGCTGCTGCTGGCACTTGTTTCCACCTGCATTTAACCAGAACTGATGGTAGAAAATGTAATACTGTAAACATGTTTGGGTTGTGAGAATGAGAATGTATTTACCTGTATAGGAAACGGCCACATCCACCATGTCCGCACAGACATAAAGAGAAAAGAGAAAACAGAAACGTTACCCACGGGGTCAACATCAGCACTGACTTTACGACATGAACACAGGGTGTATAAAATGTCTGCCATCCTTTGTTTTTCTGTTTCAGCGTTCACAGCCTTGGGACAAACCAAACCTCCCTAATATTGTTTTATCCTATTTATTGTAACCATGTGATGCCTCCTGGTTTCAACCCCACGAAGCAAATGAATGAAAAGTAGAATAAGATGAATTAATCCAGGAGTAAACATGAATCCATCTATTCAATCTTCATCCCTCCCACAAAAAATTAAAAACTGTACGGTTAAAATACATTTGTGGTAGAAAAACCCTTGTAGCAACAAAGGTGGTCTCGTGGGCCAAACCAGAGGGCTTATGGGTAATGCTTTCATCTGGGAAGGGTCAACAAATCTTCCACTCTTCTGTTCTCTGCCTTAAAGGAACCATCTTTGAAAAAAAAAAGATTTACCCTGTTGTAAAAGCCCCCACAAGCAATGCAACAGAAGTCCAGTTTTTATTTTCCATCCACTGTCAGTCTCCACCAGTTTCTATTCTCCACACTGTTTTAGGTTCACGTCTGACCGCCACAGGAAGAAACGTTCAACTAAACCCAAACGCAATATTAATTTTAAGCAACTTAAAGAATAAGATCGTTGTCACCTTGGGCGACCCTTGCCCTCCAGTTTCTCCCGTGCTAAGCTCACAGTCCTTTATTGCCTGTTAAACAGGCACAGTGGCTGATTTATAAGAGGATTAAGTAAAGCAAGAGAGACAGCAGGAAGGTTTTTAGTTTCTGCCAGCACACTCAAATTAAAGAGGAGTCTATTACAGGGACAGTCGGACATATTCACAACTTAATGTGGTAACGCACAACTTGCCTGAAGGATTGTTGTGTAAATCACAATGTGGTTAAAAAGGGGGTGGAGAGAGAAAGAGAGAGAGACAGAGAGAAACAAAGAGAGCAAGACAGAGAGAGAGTGAGCGAGAGAGCAAGAG